AGAGAGAGAGAGTGTGAGAGGGTGGCGGTAGTGGGAGGCGGGGGAATGGACGTCGAAGGGACGGTAGAGGGGTAAAGCCATAAAAGTAGGGCAGTAGTGCGGTAGAGCAATCAATAGAGGTTGGATCATGGTAGGGCGGGCGGGCGGGGGAGGGGAAACGGGAGAGTATGAAACCGGAGTGCAAATTTGGTGACGCGCGTGGATGGCCGGTGGGAGGATTGAGGGGGAAGGGGGGCAGAGTAAAAAATGGAGAAATGCTTTCTCGACGGATTCATTAATTCTTAAGCGGAAATTCGCGCGAGCGAGACGACTTTCCTCCGAAAAGGGAGATTTATGGTTTTTATCAACAGCGCGATTTTTTTTTTTTGAAGACCTTTTCAGTTTTTGACTTGAAACTTTTAGATTTGTGCCTTTATGCAAGAACGACTTTTACGTCATTTTCTAACCGAAATAAAATACGCTGCGCAACAAGCTTTGACGAGTATAGATCCTTTTCATAGAAGAGTGAATTCCACCGAAGATAAAATGGTTACAATTCAGAATCGATTTTCCTGAAAAAGTTCTCATCTCTCCCATGAAATGTCGTACTTGTTAAGCCTCATTATGCAGCACATCTTATTTCGACTGAAAATATTAGCTGCTTTTTTTTGTATTAAGTTACAAATTTGAGAGTTTTGAAACAAAAACTGAAAACATCACCAAAAATGAACCCGAATAATGGTTTTACAGAACGGTATGTCAAAGTGATGTAGTTTAGGAAAAAGTTATAACCAAACCGGAGCCGAAAAAGCGGCTTCCCGATTTCTAAAAATAAATAAAAATATTCATAATATTTAGAGAAAATATTTCATAATATTAATAAAAATAAATGACGGTCTCTTGTCTTAATGTTGATATTGACTTTGTGTAGCGCAGCAAAACATTGCTCCATACAGAATCATTGTTAATAGCCGATAAACAGAGAATTGATAGATTTAATTCCGCTTCGATCGAGAGAATTACTGTGGATTTACAAATAGATATACGAGATGCTCGATTCAAAATCGTTTTTCGAAGAACATCACGTTCCAAATAATATGCATAGAATGTTCGAGTAAAATCACATGAATTTAACGCACATTATTAAAAGGTCTCGTGCAATATATAAGTAGCTGTCGAGTTTGCGTAGTTCGTTGGAAAATTTGGCGCGATAAAAAAGAAAATTGATGCCCACATTTACGGATCGATCGCGACTACATATTCACGTTTCTCACAATTTCGCAGCCTGCGTGGCCTATCAATACGATAGTTTTCTACAATAAAAATGATATCTCGATACGATATCATCGAAAACAAAAACGATAATACTATCTACTTTATGTTTCAAATATCTATCTCGTGAATTTCTGAAACAAATCTCGATTTTGTGCCGCGGAAAATGCCCTTCTCAGCTACTTTTTCCTACCGGTTTGCAAAGTTTATTTTTATTTATTTCTCCATTTTTGTGTCTTCCTTCCAAAAAATATTGCACTTTTGTTTCAAGTATGCGAAGCATAAGGAAACGCAGCCGACGGCCCGTTTCGGGAAACGAGAACGAATTACTCTCGACGACGAAAACAAAATCGGCTAAGCTAAGCGAATGGTTCGACTCTCGTCTCGCTCGTCTCATCATTGCACGAGTTGCGTGCATGCTTGCCTGCGTATACGTACGTACATGTATACCTGTCGTGATTGTCACGACAGCGACGGCGACGACGATGAGAATGATTCGTGCGCGCGTGTGTATGCATGTGTGTATCGCGAAACGATTCGGAAAATTAAGCACCATTTCGCACAACCGGAGCGAGAAAGAGGTTATGATGCACCACCGATATCGTGACGCGACGCGAAGAAACCAACGAGTGTCGATTACCGGGGAAGACGAATGTTCTGCGATTTCGTCTCGCAGAATTCGCGTGAGATCGGCAAACAAAAATCGCCGGAGAGAGAGATGCCCGCTGATCTGTGCAAAACAAGCACCAGTAGCAAAGTGTTTCTTAGGTTGTTTCGACGAATGTCGAAAAAAAAAGATAAAGCGTGATCGTGTCTGAAACGATGATCGTCTCGGTTTCTCGTCCTTCCTCAATCACGGTATCGGTTAGAAATATTCAAGGTACTCACCTAACTCCGAGCACTTCCACACCGTGAATTCATCATTTCAACAATTTTCATCGCTCTCGACTGCTCTCGAGTCTTGACCGCGCGTATTGTTGTTCTGTGTTTCTTTTGAAACTGCTGGTTGACCGTCAACGCTATCTGTTAGCAATTCGCAAAACTATCTTAATTACTAGAAGATAATTTACTAGAAACATGCAAAATTATTAAATATTAGATATCCCTAGACGCACTAAATGCCGAATAGCACCATATCTAAATTGGCGCCATAATTTCCCAAATTTAAATTTGCAGCTTTAATCTACTGGTCGCGTTGCCTTTTCTGAAATAAATAAATGATATTACTAACTTTGATCATTACTCGAAAATTGAAAGAATTATAAAAAGACGTGCGTTCCAATTTTTTGCTATCCTCTATCCAATTAACACTTAAGTTAATTGTTTTGTTAGAATACATATTTCTATTTTTGTTCACAATGCAGGATCCTGGAATTTTGTAAAGAACATAAAATTGTTTATTGAATATTAAGTTTTACAAATATTATCACACACTTGTTATGAATGTTTCGTCTCGGGGCGGGCTTCTCCTTATATCGTATATCGTACAAATATAAGAATTATATTCAATAAGGGCTATGTATATATATATATAATATATATATAAATACTCGATCATCTTATAAAGTGGCGGTGTTTGTGTATTATGTACATCGATAAGCCGACCATTCTTAATCGCGATATATTACCGTCGAATTTATAAATGCTAATACTAGGTAATTTATTTATCTACTAATTTATAAAAGCTAAAATACGGATGATCGATTCGTTGATGAGTTGTAAGAACAAGAGGTGTATTAATATGGTGACGGTCGAATGCAAATCAGCCTCTAAACATTTCGCACTTCGTCTTGTATTCCGGTCATAAATCCCAGCGCATAGTAGAAATCAATAAATAATATTAATTTTATATAGATAAATATATATTTACTCTATGCTAATTATACTTTTGTGGTAAAATATTTTCACCAGGCCCTCTGCGTAGGCCTATCTTTCAATTAAAAAGTACCTGTTCGCTTTTTTTCTTCTTCATCAACAGCGCAATAGATACAACTTTCATATTTATATCATATATATACTTAATGTACAAGCTGTCTCTTTATCGGTATAGCTCACTTATGTTTTTCTCGCGATCGTAAAAGCTTGCGTACAGCTTATAAAAGCATTAATATGAGAAACAATAATGTATTGTAAAATGTCCACACGTATCCGAGAAAAACGTATTAACACGTTTATAAATAATATATTCTCTTTATAGTTAACTTACGAATGTAGCGCTATTTGGCGAACAGAGACCGTAATACACTCGAACGCTAATAATTCTTGCAGTGTTCTCTCTCTCTCTCTCTCTCTCTTTCTCATCGAGCTAAGCCGACAACGAAAAAACTTCATTTATTCTATGTATAAATTGTATTGGGCGGTATTATCTATGTATTATCACCGGCAAGTAATACGTAATATTCCGAATTATGGTACAACATTGTTCTCTCGGCTTTTTTTAGGAAACTTGTGTTACATCGAAATTTGTGCACTACACAAGTTGTTCAGAACTCAAGTAATATATATCAAAAATTAGAGAGCCTACCTTAATTAATTAATTGTCATTTTGAAAGTTTTATAAATCATTTAAAACCTAGATATATATTATTTGATGATCAGTAAAACATGCTCGTATTGCATCTATGTTCCGCTTACTTTTCCTCTTATAATTTTATCAAAAAAAGATTAAAAATATTCATCCATTGACATACAAACGAAACATACATAATTTGATCACGAAAGAATTAAACATCGCACAATAATTTCACAACTTTTCGCGTCTTTCACAATTCTTCACAAATTTGTTTCCAATATGTTTCACGCTGGCAAAAGTATAAACTCGATTTCTATTACTCGAGTTCCAACTAACTCGCGTACGGTACAACACCCTTAATATACAAGACTTCTGTACAATACCTCGAGTGTTATGAAAGTACAAAAGTGCTCCAAAAACGATTGAATACGATTCGAACTTCTATTAGCATTATTATCTCGTAGCAATATGTAAAATGACAATCATTACATTTGTTCATCGTGAATTGGAGTCCAAACGCGCTTCCGCGTTAATGTTTTCTTGGAGAGTCTTTATTATTGGAAGGAAACGTATGTGTATGTACTTTGACGGATATGCATGAATGAATTGGCAGTAAATGGTTTATATAAAATGGCTTGGATATAAATATGGATATACGTGCATATACGTCGACGATTCTTCCGGTGAAAGTTTGAGCGTTGCATTAAGTTTATAAAAATCTTTCCTAAGCTGCCGGTTCCCGGTTTGTGCATCCCAAGTAAGTGAAAATACAAATTCATACGAAATATGTATATCCTACGAAAAATATTTGTATACAATTTTTTATCGATAATACTTTAACTCGCACGAGCGACTCGCAAGAGAGATTTGAAACTTACTTTACTTCAATGGACCGTATCCGACGATAATGTAATCTTTACTGCTCTCTTACGTAAAATAGTTTGCTTCTAGAAACGGATAGAGTGAAAGGCCCGAAAGGATGCTGCGAAATTAAATCCTGCGCGCGACTTTATGCGCCTTTCGGGAGGAAATCTAGGAGGAAAATCGATCGTTCACTTCATTATACTAAATAGTCTATAATACCCATACTCGCAATATATCCGCATTTAATTCTAAAATAATCCTTCCCAATGAGATCGTAATACTAGTTGGTGATTGCTTCAACAAAGGATACACGCACGAAATCCTTCTATAAATGCAAGCTGCCAAGGTTGTCGAGTACACAGAGCAACTTAACACCTTATCCACGCTGTTTCGCGCCGGATTTAATATTATTTATTACGGAACGCGACGAAATGAGTATCGCGTGCAATCATACACAGATCATCAAGATTTTCGTTTAAAAGTTACATTGCCGATTCGATAATGTAAAATAAAACTAATCTTTATTGTTTTACCTTATCAAATTTTAAAAATATGACATCGAAAAGATAAGTAAAATAATAAAGTAAAAAATAAATTTGCAATTCATTTCTGTGCAAAGATCCTTTTTGTATTAAGGACGACTATTTTCAGCGTCAACTTTAACCGGTTAAAACAGAACTCTTGTCGACAGAAGATTACTGATATGAAGAATAAAATATCGTCTTCTTTGACGATGATAGTTTATTCAGATTAGTCGACGCTGAAAATAGTTATTCCAAACGTGAGTAACGTCGGCCTCGTCGATAAGGTGTTAACGTAGACATCTTATTAAGGCCGTCCGAAACAAAATATACAACTTTTACGGTCCTTAAAGCGTAAAACAGAGTATCGAGCGAGTTGTCAACTTGACAAAGAAAATGTTGGGATGAGTACAACAATTCATCCGTTCATGATTATATTATACACTTTCTTCTAAACAAATTAATATCGTGAAAATAGAAATGTGAACAAGCGTAGCTTCCAAGTATAAAACCATACAATAAAGCTCATCGCGAAATAATTCAGATACAAAAATAGAATTGGAATTTTATCTAAAATTTTACCTTTCGTTTTTATTCATTTAGAACCGTAAACTGCTCGATCAAACGACGCGTGCCCCATCTTTTTTTAAAGCGTAAATATGGCAATCGTAAGCATCGACGAAAGTAACGCATTAATCGTACAAATACGAATTACGTGAATACGAGATAGCGACGAGCGACGCATGAGCTTCTCGCTGGGAGTACAAAAGCGTACTAATACAAGTTTAGTTTCTTCATTTAGGCAAGAGCACACGATTAACGTGCGCAAAAGCGCAATCGTCGGGTGTCGCACGATTAAAACCACCCTGAACTTTCACGCAGATATCGAAAAAAGACGTCGAAAGATGCTCCTTACTCGCACGGACTTGACTATATTATTATTGTACACTGACTTTCACACATCGTAGAAAACACGCCGGAAATCGATCATGTGTAACTTACGTCCTGATCGGTATATACGCGCCCAGCACATTCACACACATGTGGTACATTGTAAACGTCTATAACACAAAGAGTGCTGGTCGAGTGGCTTTCCCGCAGCATGGTACTTGCGTGTCCGCGTTATAAAAAAAAATACGCCGCAAGAATACGCGACGCTGTCGGAATACATTGGCAAGTACAACTTTGAGTCTCACGCTCAAAACGAGCAACGCTAGTACCGGAGAGAGAGGGAGACGTCAATCGAAATGGAATGATTCGGCGAATCGCCAATTACGACGCTTGAAAATCGAGCATTCGGATCACGCGTTAATTGCGCCGTTCATCGGCGCTAATTAACCGTTCGGTTTCTCACGCGCAATTCCGACAGTAATCGTGCGAATTAGAAGAGAAGAAAAAGAATGTGATACAAACCGTATAAAGTGCCGTGATTAATTTATCTCTCAGGTACTAACATTGAGAATGTGACCGTTGCAGTCTATCCATCAGTTAGGATGGCACAAGGTTTAGGAACCTACTTTAGCATTCGAATTCCGATGCTGTTATGGCATTCAGATCTTTCATAAGACCCTCTAAGTTGGCCATTTCCTGATTCAATTCTTCGGTGCTATACGAAGGCTGTAAACCACAATTAGACTCGATTACGAAGCAATTCCACGTAGAGTGTCCAAAGTCAAACTTGTACTGCATCAATCAACGCAATTTTAAAAGTATCGATTCACGTTTCTCACCTTTAACCGTTCAACTTCTTCCGAGGTGTGTGCCGCGTTCGACACGGAAGCCAGACGGTTTTTCGCTAATTGCGACGTCGAGCTTTGCGGTTTCTTGTACGGGCTTCCGGACATTGTTGGCCTCACCGTCACTTGCGACACTGTAGTTATGGAGATTAGTGAGTCCGGCGTTCATCGGAGCGTAAAGTAATTAGTAAACAGTACTAACCACCGTGCTTCTGCTGCGCCGGCGTTGAAGGAGCACTCTGCGGCGGTGGTGCCGGCACGCTGAAGCTCTTAAGGGGATGTCCTTGCAGCCGCTTGCTGTTGTTCTCCACTCCGACGGTATTATTAATCGGTTGATTACTGTTCCCGTAATGACCAGGGGCGTACTGGGCGTTTCCGGTGTACGATTGTCCGCTTGTGCCGTATGATAACTGAAAGAGCAGGAGAGCAATTGTTGTTATGTCTGCCTGCAGCCTGAATTAATTCCGACAAAGTCAATATTAAGCATTTCGCTCTTGTTTTAAGTGAAATAATTCATTCTTGTTTATTTATTATGCAGAATATTGCCGCAAAGTACTACGCCAATACTTATATTTTTTATCCGCAAAATGTAAAAATTAAAAAAACATAATTTGCTAATTATTAGGCTCGTGCAAAAGGTTTATCGCTTCTTCGTGAAGATCTATTTTAAACAAAGTCGATTTTTATTCTAAAACTCGGAGTTTTTAAAATCGAGTGTATAATATTTTGTTTTCAGCTGAAGAAATGTATTGGAATCAATGGCGATTATTTTGGTTCTTAAAAACTGATTTAAAATCCTTCAATTGTCTTAAATTTTACTTGAATAAAATTTTTACACCAATCCAACATAATCACGTACTCCGAAGTGTTATGTCTAATCTGCAAAGATTAAAGGATTCATTATATATTCGGGACCTTACTTGACTCTGTAATGGCTCGTACGAGCTAGGCATATTGCAGGAATCCGGGCTGGACTCCGGCGTCGGTTCCAGCGTGACGTGCGCCCGATTCAGGCTGTATTGCGCTACCGTGCGCGGATAGTTCTGCCTCATCGACGACGTGTCGCTGCAGGACGTGTGAATGGTCGGCTGCGACATGCTGCTGTTCACGATCGGGGTGGCCGTAGCTATGGCTGCAACGAGTCAAGAACTTTGATACCTACATCAAAGCGGCGATTCCTAGCTGAATATTGTGCGTTTATTGTTCGTGTATGTTTACGCAAAATGTCTCTTGTCGCAAAATAATATCGCGCTCGGAATGGCTCGGCCAATTCTCGATGTTGTACAAAAGCGACATTACACACATATCGGATACTGCGCTATTAGGATTGACAATCCCACCACTACTTACGCTGATGCAAAGGTGTACTGTCAACGGGGAGTGTGATTAGTTTGGGTTTGTGGCTGCCGTGACTGTGCTGTCTGCTCAGGGTCGAGCACTTCTCGTCAGTGTTACCTGATAGGAAATAAGTAGAAAGCAACGAAATAATAAAATCAGGAGAAACTGCAAATAAAATGTACCGGGCCCTTCTCTATCTCTTTCTCTTAAGTGCACTGTGCTAACTGAAATGCAAACACCAAGTGAAATTGCCAGAACAGTGTTATAGAAACGTTATTCTTGCAAATTAATCAAACGGGATTGCTGTCGGCTTTGCGATGTGACTCAAATGTTTTTGGCGGTGTTTTGATCTGTGGCGGTGCGGCCGTGTCTTTTCCGCGATACTTACCCATGTAACTTGGCACATAAGTACGTTTATCCAGCGAGCTGGAGTTGCCGTGTACATTATCCTGACTGTATTCCGGATTGCTCGACCTGGGTAATGTGTTGCTGGTGACACCGCTGGTCGACGCTTCGCCGTTTAACGACGATTTCTCCAGTGCTTTCAGCTCCATTTGATCGTGATGAATCCAAAGATCCGGCGGCTTGATATTCGTCTTCTGATTCGTGTCATTCATATATCTAAGAATGGTGAAAATATAATTATAAAAAACAATATAAAACAATGTACAAAAATTTATGGACAAATGTATTATAATTGAAAGTATTGAAACATAGCAATTCAATTATTATTGTTAAAATATACCCTTTCTTGCGATCTGGCGAGCTTGGATTACGTTTACAGCACACTACAACCACGACCGATATACCGGTGACGATGACGATTGAAAAGCCCACGATGATGTAAATCAATAAATTGGAAAGGCCACGTCCATCTGGAAAGAAATAAAAATTGTACAATATGTAAGTTTGTGCATATGCTCGATATTT